TGAACCGCAGGCTATTTCTGGGGTGGAAAAAAAGCACTGAAAGCTGAAGTCTTTCAACAGCTCACAATTTCCAGGGCACTGCAAAGTCACAAGTGCCAGCTGATTCTGGTCTGGTTCTATAATTTGCACAAACCAAACTGGCCTCAATATGAGACCTCTTCATCTGCCTTAAACAGCATCCCAACTGGTAGTGCTTGCAAGGAATTCACTGGAAGTTTTCAGTTCTAAACACAGTTATTAACAAAACATACTCAGGAACAGTTTGCACATGTGACTACTGTATGTCCTGTTATTATCAGTCTGCTAAATAGAAACATCACTTGCAATCGGATAGCTTTGGCAATAAAAGAAATAGCTCCACTAACATTGTATTTGTGTGTTACACTTCACTATTTTCAATATGAAAACTAAAGGGATTCAAATATTCTTTTGAAAAGCTAATGCAAGTGTCACTCCCCACATAGTACAAGGGCTGCTGCTGAGAACCCCTTGCTAACCAAGTCTAGGTTATGTCTACAGAATGGGTAAGCTCACTCAAAAGTGTTAGCAACTACATTTGCTCTGCAAAATAGCTAGGGAATACTGCTGGACTATTTGAATCCGAGACATCTTTTAATTAAATGTATTTTTTGGTGCCACTTGATGCAAGATTTAATTAAAGTCTTTATTAACTTGCTCCAGAAGTATCAAATAGAGAAAGCTTGGTACAAATATGCTGAAGAGTCCAAGCAATAGTTATCTAACATGTTTCAAGAAAGCCTGTAAAAGTATTGAGTCTCACAAAGCACAGAAGTCACAACTCTCATTATACAGAAACACAAAGAAGGAAAGTTATTAAAAACCTAAATACAGGGCTATCCCTTAAGGGATCAATCAAAATCCATACCATGTCTCTCAAAAAATTTAAAGATCCAGAATGGCATAAAGATCTCTAGAGGGTAAACGTTCCAGACCAAAGCCTGGTATCTGATTGGAATTTGTTACCAGTTTTATCTTTATTTCAACACAAGTTCTTAAATAATGTTTAGGTTGCCTTTTCAATAAGTAAGCCTTCAACCCTATAAGAAACACCCTCAAACTATATCTATAAAAACTCAGGACTCTTCTGAAGGTGATAAAAAACCCTCTTTCCTTCCTACCAAGCAGTAAGAGGCCATAATTCCTCTTCTGCACCTCATCCATTCAGGAAATCATTAACTGCAACTCTGACAGTGACATGTCAAGTCACCACAAAACCTTCGTTAAAACTCCCCTGAACCGCAATATACCAAGAAAGAGAGTCCAGCAAATGCTCTGGAACAACAATTTTGATTCAGAAACAACAAACTTATCGCTTCAATCGATCAAAAGCACATTTTTAAGTGTTTTGCATAGGCAGGCAACAAAGTAAGTCAGGCACAAGATATTTTCAAAACTTCCCATGCAAAGCCCTTACTAGGATGGCACTCTTTGGCTCCCATTAAGCATCTGTCAGTAGGAGAGCTTACATTAGCTTTCAACAGATTTAGCTGCAGCCAAACAAACGAAGGCAGCTTTGTCTTGTCTGACCTGGAGTTCTCCAGTCTCTTGCTCTGCGTTTTAGATCCACAACACCCATCTTTGTTTTCATTGTAAAATATATTACACAAGCAAAAGACGAATTAAAGAATAAACTCAACTATTACTTTAGTTTAATGATCTTCCATATCACTATTTGCTTTCTCATCCTAGGTGCCAGGAAACTAAAAGAACATCCTGCCTGCTTGTAAAACGCTCCAGTGTTGAAAGCATGTTGCTTGAGCGACTGAGTAACTCAGGTTATACATCAGAGGCCAGATTTAATCTTGTGGTGCGTGCTTTCTCTTCCCAGATGAGTGGACATTATACTCCACAGAAAAGTAGCTAAAGATGACTTTTAAGTCAATGAAAATACACCAGAATACCTGACTGCATATTTATTTCCATAAACTTTTTGAAGACAAAGAACAGCAAGGCAGAGAAAAAAAGGCCTCCACAAAACCGGAGCTATTCCATTTATACCAGATATTAACAAAATACCAGTTATTTTCATACTCCCCAAGCCAAACTATCAAAATGAATCAATTTATTCTTACCTGGAAATTTGGTGCCCAGCATAAAGCAGCAGTGCAGTCAAAAAGTACAGGTAAAGCTGAACCAGGTGTTGCCTTGGTAAGGTTAGGAGCACAACACTTAAGATGTAACCTGTAACAAAAAGCAGTTGAAATTTCAAAAAATGCTATCTAACCCAAATTTTCTTAAAATATTAAGATTTATTCAGATCTCTAACTACTTTCGTTCTCACTTGGTTTTAAATTTCATGTACCTATATTTTCCTGTCATCAAACCACAAAAAGACCACCAACTTTTCTTTTATTTCCCCATGAATAGAAATAGCTTTACCAACGTCTGTAAAATTACATCTAGAGGTCAAGAAGTAGACTTGATCCACAGTATTTTAACAAGACTTAATTAATATAACCTATGCAACAAAGAGAAAACAGGCCTAGGTCGCCCTCTTCTTCCAACTGCAAGCAAGGTTCAGTGTAGCAGGGAAAAAAGGCTACCCAAGAAACTCAGTCAACTGATGTAAAAATCCTTTTCTTGCAGCAAAGGACACACATAACACTTTTCCATGCTGATGAGCATTATACATTTTAATTCTTCCACTGTATCTTCATGGTTTAAAGACACTTTGCATGCCCATAATTTGAGATGAGAACACACATGCTACTCTCCATATTAGTAATATTAAAGCACATTTAAGCTTTCAGTGTTGCATAAATCAAGGAGAGGACTTGGCAGAGCCCAGGATATGCAGGCATTTACACTGGCAGTTCTTTCACTTCTTGTTAGCATTTAATATGACTGTGGAAAAAACACCCGATGCAGATACAGCTTTACTCTTAAAGACCACAGCCTGGCTGCTCAGCAGCCTCTCCAACAAGCGGTACACCCATCTTTTCTTTCATACCTGCTCTCATTCGGATACTTGAACAATGCACTACTTTGAAGTTCACTTCACAAGTGAGTGGTACATGTCCATCCTCTTTCCCAGACAGGCTGCAGGTTAAAACCCCAGCACATGGTGCCATGACTAATCTTTATTTCCAACCTCTCCTTCACAATACAGTGCACCCTTCCGCAGGTCTCTACATGCTCTTTCTGAAGGTCACCTTACGTGTCTGGCACTGAAATCCATTTAGGGGGAAAAAAACCCTCCACAAACAACGAAACAACAGCTAACAGCTTCCCTGCAGCTACGAACAAAACACTGCAGAAGAACTTACCATGACACTTACAGCTATACTAGTCACATTACATTTAGACTTTCATCCATCTATTCAACAACACTAAGCACAGTGCTTTTAAGGGAGTTAATTTAAACTTCAAGCTTTTAAAAAATACTTAAAAAATAATGTAACTCTAGATGAAACACTCGTAAGTAGTGGGACAACCAGCTACTATAAACCAGCTTGGGAACACAGTACGTTCCAATAGGTGAAAAAGATTTCAGAGTCAGTCAGTATTTATGTAGAAGATTTCAAGGCTGCCATCTTCAATAAGCCACCTCTAAAATTCTACCAATAGTCAGGTCTTCAAGATGGTAACTCACAACATTCTCCTAGAAAAGGCATCATACCCACAGGATGCCAAGCAAAGATCAGTTTAGATACGATAAATGACAGGAGTGATACAAACAAAGTCTATTTACTTACCTTTCTAAAAACACAAATATAAAACATACATATTTAGCATTAAAGAAAATTTTTCAAGTACTTTCATAAAGTCGATGTGACAAGTTGCATATCTGAGTTTTTGAAAAGGTACAGCCTAAACCAATTGGTAGTTTCTTTGATTAGAATGAAGTATAATACAAGTCACAATCACTAACTCCTATAGAGTATTCATTTCATTATTCACAAGAATGATTAGAGGGATAGAACACCTCTCCTATAAGGAAAGGTTGGGAGAGTTGGGGTTGCTCAGCCTGGACAAGACTCCAAGGAGACCTCACTGCAGCCTTTCAGTACTTAAAGGGGGTTTAAGAAAGATGGAGACAGACCTTTTAATAGGACCACTAGCAATAGGAAAAGGGGTAGAGGTTTTAAACTAAAAGAGGGTAAATTCAGACCAGATATAAGGAAGCAATTTTTTACAGTGAGGCTGGTGAAGAACTGGCACAGGTTGTCCAGAAGGGTGTGATGGATGCCGCATTCCTGGAATGATCAAGGTCAGGCTAGATGGAGCCCTGAGCAACCAGATCTAGTTGGAGATATCCCTGATCACTGCAGAGGCATTGGACTAGATGACCTTTAGAGGTCTCTTCCAACCCAAACTATTCTACAGCTCTGTGATTTTTATTTTGAGCTTTCTAAAGGGGCCTGAAACACAGCACTACAAGTTTCCTTCTAGTAACTGTTTTATACAGAATAGCATGCTTCTAGTTAATACAACACAGATGTTCTACATCATCAGTTTTCTTAGCAAACACATGTATTTTATCGTATTCATCTTCTCTATTCACCGCCTTCCTTCTACCAAATACATAAATGGCAAGAGGAGGAACTCCTTAGCAGAATCTCCACGAAGACATTTAACTAGCTGGCACCACACCACAGCATCACAAACCAGATCCAGCAGCTCTCACACCATCTGCAGACATTCTTAACACCTCATCTCTGCCATAGGCACCACCTTCCCTTGATTGCTTACTTAGGGACAATTCTCTCTGGGAACAACCCACGTGGCACAACCATGTATCATTCCAGCACTTGAGTCGAATCTCTAAATCTTTCCTTCTCACTGTAGCCCATGACTCACCTTCAGAGAACTAAATTGAGTTTATTATGCAGCCTTTTATTCCTCTAGTACTCTATAAATAGTCTAAGAATACCTGTTTACTGCATCTGCATTTAAGCTCTGCCATCTTCTTTACCTATTCTATCACATGAAAGTTTGCTCCTTCGCCACATGATGATGTACTTTTTCTGTAAAAGGAATACATTTTAGAGGGCAGTAACTGCACTCCACCACAGCCATTTTACACAGGAGTATTTTAGAAGTGAGTGAATTAAAATACATCAGAATACACTGAAGAAGTGAAAAAAAGGTCTAAATACAAGTCACATGATGAGAAGATTACTGTCACATCTGTGTCTTTTAAACAGAGGGCTTCCAAACAGTACAGATGGTTATAACACTGCACAGGGAAGCAGCACAAGACAGCCAAGGTTACTGCAGAAGCTTGAGCAATGAATTCCACTGTTCCTGAGTTTGGGCTGGAATTTAAATGTTCACTTTGAAGCAGCCGTTTGCTCTAATTGTTGGATTTTGAAGAGAGGGAGAGTGAGAGACATTTGAAGTAGTTCCCTTTCACTCTTATTTACAATTCCCTCTCGTGACTTGATAAGAGATTTCAACACACTTCATACTGCAACATTTGCATTTTTGCTGCAGAGGCCCTATTCCCAAAGTGGTACCAACCTCATCTTTATCAACACCTCTGCCAAAAAAAAAAAAAAAGGCAATTCATTACCAAACCATCTCATTGCATACAATGAACACAAAAGCTCACATTTAGACATACCAGCAGTAATAGTCTATTCCCTTTGTTCTTGCCTGAGCAAATGATGTAATTAGTGTATGGCATAAACAAGATTCTACTTTAAAAAAAATGACCGGGAAATGAGATTTCTCACAGTAGCTTTCTCATCTAAATCATTACATTCTGTTTTCATTTGCACCTCCTCTGTCAGGAAAAAACATGATATTGAGAACATATATCCCTTTGGAGAGATCCTCCACATACACTCTCTTGACAGTTTGAGAAACAGTCATCGTTCTGGGTAGCCTTCAGACGTGGGTTAACAGTAACTAACACCCACTTCCATCCAAAGCTTTTTGAGCTCTTTGCCTACAATGAGCACTCCTCTCCCTTGATTTAGGCTGCGCTTGCTATTTTTCGTTTTGGGACTTGGTGTATTGTCCCTTTTGACTCAGCAAATATGTTTCTGTTCAAGTGTAAGCAGAGCAGGCTCAGTGAAGCCCAATTCCTGCCCCAGTAAAGAAACCATTCTAACGCATATTATAAAAAGATACAGACAAGAGAGAATAAACTCTTCCCTGAATACAGTCATAGTGCCCTAGTGCCAGACCACCACCAAACACAACTGTACCTTTATGCTTCCAGCTATAAAGGAGCCCTACAGAAGACATTCTGCCAACCTTACAAATACATAGCCCCCCTACACAGTACCTATTCAGGAGCATCAGGAAGCAGAAAACTTCTACTGCCTCTCATGCAAGATGGTACAGATTTAGGCCCCACTGAAGAAAATATACTGTGAATGGTAGAATCACAGAATGGTTTGGGCTGGAAAGGACCCCAAGATCATCCAGTTCCAACACCACTGCCCTGGATGCCTCACACTAGACCATGTTGCCCAGGGCTCTGTCCAAGCTGGCCTTGAACACTGCCAGGGATGGAGCATTTACCACTTCTTTGAGTAGCCTGTTCCACTGCCTCACCACCCTCACAGTAAAGAACTTCTTCCTTTTATCTGACCTGAACTTCCCCTCTTTAAGTTTAAATCCATTCCCCCTCGTCCTATCACTACAGTCCCTGATGAAAGATCCCTCTCCAGTATCCTCTTAGGCCCTCTTCAGATACTGGAAGGCTGCTATGAGGTCTCCACGCAGCTTCTCTTCTCCAGGCTGAACAGCCCCAACTTTCTTAGCCTGTCTTCATACGGGCTATATTGTGAACACAGTAATAAGTAGAAAAGCTAAGCTAAACATGCTAGAACACATGTATTAACTAGCTCATGACCTCATTTACAACTTGTTGATTCAGCTAGATGAAAACCTCTCACTGTGCAATGCTCATTGTTACCATAAGCAGGAGCTCAGACTCTTTCAGCAATCTTTCTCCGTGTGTACCACCAAGGTGCCTCAAAGCTTCTCTCACCCCATATTACCTCTTTGCCGACTCAGGTGTCTGAGTTTTATTGACATCCTGCATACAATGGAGGCTTCTGGAGCACGATCGAAGTTGCAACCCATCCTCTTTATGAAACATTTGAGTGCTCATTTGCATGATTATAGTTCCCTTGTGTCCACTTCACGTTATTACGCAAAGTTTCCTGCAGGTTTAGTCTAAAAATGAGAACTGTGCACATGAAACAGTTCATAAGATTTCTTGA